AAATGTCTTCCTGCGCTTCGGCTATATAGTGTTACAGCTGGATCATATTTTCCGTATACGTGTTTGCAATTAGCTGAAAACTACGGTCACCATGCAACTAAGCTGAAATTACCACCCCCCCTCAGAAAAGACCTTTCGACCGTCACTGAATTTACAGCCAATCATTAAATTGCAAGAAATCGGTAGTTTTCAGAAGTGTTAATAAAATATTCCATCAAAACTTGTCGTTACCTTGACGCCCACGTGAGACACTGGCGAGTTTTTGTTATTGTTTTGCATGCGATCTAAATATTGGCGTGGAAATTGGTTAGATAATTAGAGATAAATAGTAATCCGGTATCGTGGACCTGGGGCATAAATTACTGGAATTCAAACGCCATCTTTCTAGAGTAACAACCAATGGCATTCAACCGTCAGATTACAATGAACCAAATTACAACTTCTTCTCAAGAAAAATTTTGCTTATGTGGGTACAACAGCTCATTAAAAAGTGCCAATGATTTGTTTTGAATTTTCATCATGAGTTATTAATGAGTTTTGCAAATTCATTATACAAATTAAAACAGCTATTTATGAACAGTTAAATAAACAACATTAATGTATTAATTAAAACATAATTTAGTTTACAAAAGCTACAATTTATTGTCCTATAATCATATCTTTTGCATGCAAATGTTCTTATGTTTGCTGGATCGTGCTGCCACTTGTTTTAAATTTGCGGTTGAATTTGCAGGATATTGTTTTCCAGCTGTTCAAAGAGTAAAATGCCATGTAATTGGAAGTCACCATACCTACGAGAATGCACGAGTAGCTATATGGTTCTATTTGAGAAGCAATTTGCTGTTACAACCTCATTTTGTCTATGTAGCCCCCACTCCCCTTTATTCAATTAGCCCTCACACTCAAATGATAAAATCAATCTCAATATATATATAAGCGTATAGCGAAATTTGGATATAGACGTTTATTGATAATCCCGCGGACACATGTGTATATAACCTCCACTGATATGGTGAGAAATGTGGGAAACTGTAAGATTTCTCAAAATGTTTCTATAATGCTGTTTGTGTTTTAAATTAATATTTTTGTACAAGAACATGGGGCTTACTTTTAGTGGTTTGGGATGGGGGCTTATTAGAAGGAAGAGAGGCTAGATAGATGGTTCGGTATATATATATATATATATATATATATATATATATATATATATATATATATATATATATATATATATATATATATATATACAGAACCATCTATCTAGCCTCTCTTCCTTCTAATAAGCCCCCATCCCAAACCACTAAAAGTAAGTCCCCAATGCGTTAAATGGAACAAATACGGTATGCTACAACTGATAGATTACTTTATGTATCCGTTCAGAAGTATTTCTTTAAAATTTTTAGCAGTTCGACAACTCTTGTCATCTTGCAAAGAACTAATGGACAGAAACAGGTATATGAAATACGTTATCAGTAATGTAGTTAATTATTGTATCACTTCACTCTATTTGCTTTTGACGATACCTATCATTTATAGACCTGGAGGGGGAGGTTTCGGCGAAATATTACCCCGAATTATGAGGCCGAGGGGCTTTGCTCTGAGGGAAATATCATCACTGAGTGTAACATTTCGCCGAATCCCCCGAACGGGGGGTCTGTAAATGATATATTATATATAGCGAAAATGAAAAGCCTCCAAGTTGAAAATATAAAACTTGCCACTTACCTTCGTGAATACGTGTTTTATTTTTTATTTACCTAATACTATTTGTCATTTGTTCTATTCTATGCTTCTGTGAACTAGAACAATGATAATTAGGCATGTGAATTGTGAATTGGGTAGAAACAAACGTCAGCGGCCAAATTTGTCAATTGCCCAAGGACAAAATGATTAAATTTTAGTTAAATTTGGGTAATAAATTATCGAAAATTTGAAAGCGACTGGATCGTGTCGTTTTCAGGATATTTTGATGCTTTTATACAGTTGGAAGCACTTGGGATATACTTTCATTAATAAAAAAATACAACGAACAACATGGATTTCAGAGAGGGTACCATAGTGGGAAAATGTAGGACTTTAAGTCCTAGCGCTAACAATCTTTGATGCATGGTTGCCCAGTGGTTTTAAAGGGACAGTGTCACGGCGCTGATTGGCTAAAATAAACGGCGCAAAGAAACGTTTAAAATTAATGTTTAAAATTAATGTTTAATTTATGTTACATGATTGGAAAAGATGCAGCAGCCTTCAATTTTTAAAACAAAGCAAGGATGCCTTGCATAACGAAGGGATTATAAATAGCATATCGTATTTCACCCCTAACTTGATTATTTGTTGGCAGACAGTTTTTCAAGTTCGCGCATATTTTGGATGCGCAGAAGAACCGTGACACTGCCCAATTAAGATGTGTTGAACAACACCGCGGAAGAACGTCTGCGCATGCGTCCACATTACCGAAATCTGTATTGTGAACGTGGTGTCAAGAGCACCCCGGACAAACGTCTGCGCATGCGCGTGCACAAAAAAAGGCGTGGAATTTAAATGCCAAATTGTAAACAAAAACATGGCTATTTAATGACTTAAGGTAATTGAAACAAACAACTTAAAAAAAATACACTAGACGTGTAGTTTAGACCTGAATAAAAACTTCCTAACATTAAAAATCTAAAATAAAGAAACAGAACTTAAATTAGAAATTACCGTTTAAGAGCGGGAGGCGTGTAAACATTTCTTGAAAAATTGTCGAATACTGAACTTAAAGCAGAAACGTTAAGAAAACTATAGAATAGTTAAGCATTTGCACACGATTAAATTGTAGAGTAAATCATTACCCTTAAATACAGTCAACGCAAAAAATTATACATGTTACGCAAAAAAAGTTGTTGACAAAAATGTGGATTATATGAACCTACGAAAAGTATCTTTGTATGGTTCGGTTATAAAACCGTTTTATATATACAATAAATTTATCGACAGTCACCTTTATTTTCTTGCATAAGACTACTTCTTGCACATGTAGACTGTAATTATTTCAACTTTTTTGGGTTGTCACATTCATTATTCCGCTTGCATTTTCACAGAAAAGACAAAATATCGAAGTCGCTTCCATTTTGAGTTTTTGACAACCTTCGGAATACTTGATAACACGTTCGCAATACAGATTTTAGTAATGTTGATGCATGCGCAGACGTTTTTCCGCGGTGTTGGTGTCAAGTGTTCCGAAGGTTATCAAAAACTCAAAATGGAAGGGACTTCGATGTTTTGCCTTTTCTGTGAAAATGCAAGCGGAATAATGAATGTGACAACCTAAAAAACTAGAAATAATTACAGTCTATAAGTTCTTTGTATGTTTGCATGGTGATAAAATATAATAGGTTTTGTTTCTGGAAACACCACGTAAATTTATTACTGCAAAGCTTTCGATCCGTAAGCCCGGATCTTCATCAGTGCTAATAATATGTGACTTGTTTAATTCACACGCTCTTTTTATATACAAAAGTGTCGTGATCTGTTGGCTCGCGTCATTTGAAATTTAATTAAACGGCACATCAACCACGTCATTCCAAACTTAGTGAAGTGATTAATTACAGTCTACATGTGCATGAAGTAGTATTACGCAAGAAAATGAACCAAAGGTGACTGTCGATAAATTTATTGTTTAAAACGTTCTTTAACCGAACCATACAAAGATACTTTTCGTAGGTTCATATGATCCACGTTTTTGTGAATAACTTTTTTTATGTATAATTTTTGTGTTGACTATATTTAAGTGTAATGATTTACTCTACAATTTAATCGTGTGCAAATGCTTGACTATATTCTATAGTTCTCTTAACTTTTCTGCTTTATGAAAATAATACGAAAAGTTACACTGCGTTCATATGAGGCAAAAAGTTCTCCCGTGTACCAAGACCTCGCTTGTTGACAGGCGAGATCTCGGTGACCGGGATAATGTTTTTTTCCCATGTGAAAACAACTTTCCCGCTTAGCGGGATAACTTTCTGTCGTGTCAGCAACTTTTCAATTCAATTCATGTTCAGTGCTACGTCACAGCCGGAAACTTTACCCGGTAAGCGGGATAAAGTTTCTCCATATGAACAGAACAAAAATATTTGGCTAGTAGAAAGGTTTTCTCATTAACCGGGATAACTTTTGCCTATATGAACAGGCCCTAACTTTGCATAAAAGCCACCATGCTTCGAGCCGCTTATTTTTTCAATCTTGTAAACACCTTATATATGGTACTTAACAAAGATACAACAAGGGTGCAGTGAACGCGTTACCCAATCACAAAGATGCAATTAACCCACCCTCCAGCAGCCAAAATTTCTAAACGAAGGACGGATGGGGGGGGGGGGATTTCAGGAAGGAAAATTCCGAAGCAATTTTACCCTGCGCTAGTACGAATATGAAAATGTGTTTGGACTTTCAGCTATCCATGCATAATACAGTGCAATGAACTTCTACGTGGGTGCGGGGTACACTCGCAGGGAAATTTAAAAATTGGTAGAATACACTACTTTCACCATTTACGGAGCTATCCAATCAGGTTCGACTATATCGAATCATCCTTAACACATAGCAACTTAATCACAAACTAATCCAAAGCATTTAAAATATAGGTACAAGATATACATATTTATATTACAAGAAATGAAAATATATTGCTTCCTTCACTTGCCATATGCTGTCACCTTCCCATGCCAAAATTTACATTACAATTAGAAATGAAAATACACCGCCGCTCTCCGTTTGAAAATATTTTGACCGCTCTAAGTGGGAATTCTGTGCAAAGACATGTCATGCAGCTAAGAATAGTGTATATTGACTATATGAATGGTAGATCTTCTTCAAATTTGAGGCCTAACACGAATTGTACACCACGCTATGCGACGTCATCAATTGAGCCGGAACATCACGTTTTGTTATTTAGCTCGTTAACCAGCGGTAATTATACACTGCAAAATCAAGATTCATATGAAAAATACAACGTTTATTGTCGCATGGCTGAAATATCGGGATGTGGAAAGGGGGGCTGGACACTAGTGATGAAAGTGGATGGAAAAGAGGTAAACTACGTAGTGCAAACTGCCTAAATATTGCATAAATCTTTTAAAAAACGTACTTCTCACCTGCCGGGATCTCCTCAAAAAATTACAGTGGTAGCGCAAAGTTTTAGCCATAACAAGCCACAAATTCGGTTAGTTTGTATTCAAACTGAAAAGGTTGAGGAATTGGCCATGAGAACTTGGCAACTGATTACAATCTGCTTTTCTTCAATTTTTACTAAAAAGGTGCTCGTCTCAAGCTACGAGCTGACTGCACCGCCCTACTGATAAGTGCCTTGTTCGAAACACTTTCATACCACATTAGCAAGACTAATTTAGTCAGTACCAGCTCTCCTGCAGTCTTATATAGTCTCCTGCAGTCAGTACCAGCTCTCCTGCAGCTCTCCTGCATCTCCATTCAGAGATGACTATCCTGGTCTATGTCTACATTTTAAAACGTTTTTCTTTAAAGGATACCTTCAAATCTGATTCCCTTTACTGGAGCAACAAAATTGCCTACGAAGTAGAAAACGGGTTTGAAGGTTTGACAGATAATCAAACAAAGCTAGCTTCTTATTGGTACACGCCGTTTCAAAAAATATGCCTCGGAATGAAAGTCAATGGAGGTACAGAAACTGATACAAAATGGATTGCGATTAACCACCAAGCAAGCTCGCTCTTCGACGTTATTGCTGGTGACAAATTCACAGCAACAAACATTGCAAAGTCAAAATGGAAATCATTGATCGATGGTTTATCTCTACAAGAATATTGTAATAAACAAGGGTTTAATATCCTTGGGGGACAATCTAATAGGAAGATGTATGTACGGATTGGATTAGTCGCTAATGAATGAAACGACTGTATCACGTGCAACTCGTGCATTGGCTTTGGTACTTCAATAACTGGATGTGATGGTGAGGTGAGAAGGAGCGCATGTGGAAATATCCATGCTTGTAGCAGCACGTATAAGTACACTGCAGCATTTGGGTATATACTTGTACGGTAGCATGAAAACAATTGGAACCGATCCATAAACTAACTATCAGACGTATTACATGATAACCTTTTTTCTAGTCATTGCATGTAGTAGCTGTATGTCGTCAAAAATATTCTGGATCCAAGAAATATTGAAACATTCGGCCATTTCTGGCATTAGTTTATTATTTGATTGATTATTAAATATTCGATTAATTGATTCGAAACTGAAAACTATAAATTATAAATAGTTGGTAGAGGAGGTGGAACACCGTGGAAGGCGACGGGAAGGGGCGGGGGCTGTAATCCCACAGAATCAGGGGATCAATCCTCTAGTTATCGGCCCTCTCAACTTCAAGTATCTTCCTACATTACTGTTGTCACAGTTGGATCATGTTTTGCATGTCTTTCTTTTGCATTTAGCACGAAAACCATGGTATCCAACTTAGCTGGAAATGAGCCGCCGCCCCAAAAAAAATTGTTAATTCTTATTGTTGCGTTCATCTTATGTACGTATAGTAGTTTGTGAAAATCTTGCAGCATTTGCTGAAGTACAAAATTAGAAGTAAAGTAATAAATAAACATGATGTGATTGATGATTTAATTATCTTTTACTGAATAGTGTATAGTAGCAGTTCGCTATATGCATTGTAGTGAGATTTGGCCATGATATCATATATTTCATTTTACGTCAAGTCGATTGATGAAAAATTACGAAAAGTAGAAATATAGCAAGTGTTGCTTGAAAAGTAGTCGGCTACATGGCTGGTGAAAAAATGTAGTACTGTTCTGAAGAAAGTAGTCAAAAACAACTCGCTATTTGAAAATTGTAATTCGCTGCCAGACTGCGCGCGTCAGTCTCCCAGTCTTGTTTCACTAGTGCAATTACCTAGCCTGCATGTCGTGATTGACTTGAGTTCTGCTATGCTTTATAGCTCGTCTGGTTGTAGTTATATACATACATAGATGGACCATCTTTCAACACAACCTGCGTACATATGCCAATCAGCGTATAGATGAAATTTCCATATATTTCCTCTTGACTGATGATCCGTTTCCGTACTTGTTGTAGCTATTGGTTTATATCAGTGACATTGGTTGATATAAAGTTTAATTATCCTACAGCTATAACGTATTATTATTTATTTAAAAAATTTCTGGTTTCTGATTGGCTAACAGACAACTGTAAAATTGTCATATCAACTCAATAGCTAACCAAATATGGATTCTTCACATTCATATTAGCAAAATGACGTCAAAGAGTCAATATGAAAACAATTGGACGCGTTTGCGCCATATTACTATGACGACGAGAATCATATTGACTCGCTGGTGCCATTGAAATTACGACGACGGCGGCTGCCGAAGGGCTAAGGATTGTTTTTTTTCTTAATACAAATAAAATACAAATGGCTTCCGTTTGTTTTCGCACAATTCGGTTTTCGCACAATATGAAGAATTATCAAGCCCCCAGTTTGCCGTTATCAACCTCAGCCTTCGGCTTCGGTTGATAACGGCAATCTTCGGGCTTGATAATTCTTCATATCGTGCTCAACCTCATTCAATAATTGTTAATTGTACAGGCTGTCCCCAAAAATCACCAATAACAATCTAATTGTTAGAATTTGAATGCTTTAGCACTCTGTTGGTTCCGATGAGTGCATAAATGATTGACATAAGTAAATTTATGCATAAACAAACTGTTTAAGAAGCTGCTTTAAATTCCCAAGAGCAAAAAATCGCGCACTGTACAAGGAGATGTTCTTAACTAAATTTTAATACGTGCACCTTGTCAATATTTTACGCATCATTACGCTCAGCTTTTTGGTAGGGCATTCAAATTTTAACAACTAAGGGGCTGTTCATATGATCCCACTTACCGAGACGATTTGCTTACCGAGACGAATATTTCCGTGCGTTCTTATGGATTATTTCGTCCCGCTTGCCGAGATAAAATTACAATCTAGTTCTATAATTAGCGTATGCAAAACTTCTACATTTCAGTCAAGCAACACAAATATTTAGCGATTTTAGTGTTTTTCTTGGTTTGTTTACAAGAAAAAGTGTTGCTTTAGGTGCATATTTAATACTTGTTTACGAAACAAGCATAAAACTAAGTAAAAATTGTTAAATTAATCGTCAAGACTTGTTTGACTTCATCCCGGTAAGCGGGCTGGCGTGTACATATGGAAAATTTTTCATCCCGCCTACCTATGATCTCAGCAAATTCAAAAGAGATCTCTGCAAGCGGGTCAGCTCGCTTTCTCATATGAACACAATGCATAATTTTGTAGGAAAATAACTCGGCGGTGAGAACATCGGTAAGCGAGACGTCTTGGTAAGCGAGATCATATGAACAGGCCCTAAAGCCGGTTTTCCACTAGGCGGAATTTTGCGCGCGGAGCGGAATCTTTCTTTGTCTTTTCTAATTAGTTCCACCCGAGAAGTCACAAGACAAAGAAAAATTCCGCTCCGCTCGCAAAATTCCGCCTAGTGGAAAACAGGCTTAAGTGATTTCAATAGTTGTCGTGGTTTTTTTTTTGGAAACCGTGTAGTAATTTGACAGCTCTAATTGCCTTGAATTAATGGTTGGGTACAAGAACACAAGGTCTTGTACTCATGGGACAAAACTCAAAGAAAGAAAAATTAGAAAATTTACAAGTTTTTAAGAATGTTGTCCCATGAGTACAAGACCTTGTGTTCTTACCCAACCATTAATTCAAAGCAATTTGAGCTGTCAAATTACTACATTACTTTAAAGGTAATTTTCTCCCCACGCGTGGACAATTGTTTATTGAAACCTATCCGATGTAAACCCGACCCACCCCGCTCCCTTTCGTATTTTAGAAAATGTTCTGTTCAGTTTGGGCACAAGTTACTGAAAATCAACGGAAGGTCAAGAGTTAACCTTTCTAAATTTTACTGGTATTCAAGCCGGGTTCCGTCCGTTACTGTAATATTTATGTAATAGATAAAATACGAGCGGCCGATTTGTCTTTTCTAATTAGTTCCTTCCACTCGAGATCGAAATCACAAGACAAAGAAAAATTTCGCATGGTGGAAAACGGCCTTTATCAGATGCCCATACAGATCGGACGATCTTATCTTACTAGTACTTGTGAAATGACCGTTCAGTTGAAAATAGTACTGCGATGAATAATTAATTACGTTTGTGAATGAGTAAAAGTTATGAACTACCGTTTAAAATAGCTATGGTTATATTATGGATAATTATGTATGTATAGGCAGTCATATATTTCCATTGGTACTCTACCGATGATTTAATATGAATTTCCAAGTTATTGCCGAAGCGAACAAACACTGCATATAATACGAAATGGGCTTTGAAGCAAAATGCTGAACAGTACCCGGAGGGCCCCCTATACTTTTTGCGTGAAGCGTGAAGGGCTTGTTTTACTTAGCCGTGAAACGTGATCAGGCCCCCTATACTTTTTGCGTGAAGCGTGAAGGGCTTATTTTACTTAGCCGTGAAACGTGATCGATGATTTTCTTAATCCATGACTCGTGAAAAGGCAAAATATTTTTACGTGAAAGCATATTGTGAAGAGGTATAGGGGGCCCTCTACCCGTAGAAAAGTTTGTACTTGCATTGGTATGTACGTAGAATAAACCACCATTTACTCGAGATGAGGAAGCATAATGACGTCAGTATTTTGGCAAAAGGAGACCGAAGGTTAGTAGTTTTGGATTCGATCATTTCTGAATTTCAAATTAATCAATAGGCGGCTTTTAATAAATGTCACAGTGTTTTAGACTGGCTAACTAGAACGGACCTGAAGTTGTTGAATGCTAATTCTTGGTTTTGTTTGCAGGTTTTATTTCGTAAGACATTAGATGAAGCTTGCTACACAAAGTGGCATCGCGGTAGCATGCAAGAAAGAAGAGCGAAGGAAACCACACCCGAAGAGGATATTTTACTCTAAGAGGAAGGACTATTAAGAGCCACAACAGCTGAGTCGTTACTTCATACTGTATATTTTTACAATGGGAAAATTTTTGGCCTGGGAGCTTGAGAGCTTAGAAATCGCTTAGAAAATTCACCTGAGTGTCGATGAATATTGCAAGAATATTCACCAAATTTTACGTTGAGGTGAATTCCTCGCACTATTCACCGAGATTGAGGTGAATAATTGTTTTAGCATATATCCGGAAAAACATTTAGTTAGACCCAAAAATAACGAAACTTTTTAATAAATTTTAAAAATTTGTATTTTAGCTTCCCGTAATAGTTGCGATAAACAAAACAGTATTTACAAAATTTTTAGTAATTTTTTTCCTTGGAATAGCTTTATTAATGAAACAAAGCGTCAGAATAGCTTTAATTAAACATGGCGTCCCGTGTCGTTTTGTCTAACCGCAACGAAACGGGACGCCATTTTGTTTTTGTCTCTTTTTATTTAATTACATTTCTTTATTCTTCAAGGCTTTTCAAATGCTCTTGAAATATATTTATTCTCAAGCGCCCTTGTCCTTGGTTATTCAATTTAATTAAGCACTTTTCAAGAGTTCAAGGAGCCGCACTACTTTGAATATTGTGTCGGATTAATAATAGCTGCCGTAACATATTGGGATACGATGTTAGATGAATATCCATAACGGGTGTTGAAGAATATTTATCATAATTTTCTTGCACTAAGTTACAAATGTGTAGTATAGATCCCGGAGCCAACGACTCCAGATTCATCACAAACTTTTTATCACATGTAGTTTTGGAGGTGATTCTTATCCTCACCGTTCTAGCTGGTGCTAGAAGCTTTTTCAAGGCCACTTCCGGAACTCAGCAACAAATCAATTGCGTAAAAGCATTATCCATCTCCCGAGTTTACTATTATGCTAAATATCAATATCATAAAAGAGTACAAAGTTAACACGATTTTTCGGGAAAGACATTTTGTACTGTTCTGGAAGTTCAACACAGAAACAAATGAGTACTGTATTGTTTGAATTTTCAAGACTAGATCTGCAATTTATGTCATTATATGATGGTCGGACATAGTACCAGTCCGATTATTTCGGTTTATACTACATTTCTAATGCATTGTCCATCAAGATGCATGCCGTTCATCGACTTCATCGATATGCATGCATGTGTGTGGTCACTTCCTTTTGATATAAATTAGAGCAAAATATTTAAATTATTGGATTAGACCACGTTTTATTAACTGAAAATCGATGTTTTGAGGAATGAAACAGTTTTTGATCATATTTATGCAGCGTATAAGCTTGAGGCAAAATTCATTTCATCAACACCGTGCATGTTGAAGATCCAGCAAGGGGGATTTCTGCTCAGACATCTGCATTTTGCAGGAAATTGAACCCCATGGTCACCTACTGACCAGTGTGACTCACCAGTGTGTACTTTATTGTGAAGAAAAAATGAGATTCTTGCTTAAGGAATTAAACTTGCAGCTCATAAACAATATGTTTTTTCTTTATACATAAAAATGGCCGATAATGAACTAGCAATACCCAAAGGCAAATCATCGGTCTTATATAATGGCTGTCTTAATTGAGCATTTGGGCGTCAATTTTCCTGATATCAAAAATATTACAACGGGAATGCTCGATTAAGCAAGCTTCGTTTCGTTTAAATGACTAGCAGAATAGATTATAGTCGACTTGGCGCTAAAAAAGGGTCGTACACCTTTGCTTGTCTTGAGGGTTTTATCAAACGTTTGTGCATTAATTTTCATATTGAAAAATGCAAAATCAAGCGAAATGCTTGATTAATCAAGCCGTCTTCCGCATTAGCGAATTATCCAGTGATATCGTGGACGGGGGGAGAGCCACGGGTGGGGGGGGGTATGCCCCCCTATTGTTGAGACCCGTCGGAAAATTGTCAATGTTGTCGGAAATTGTCAAAGTTGTCGACGGGGGAGGGACATTTAAAATATCGTCGTCCGGAAAGTTTTTGGTTTGTCGGAAAAATTATTGGGCTTGTCGGAAAAGTACTGCCCTTGCTTCTCCCCCCCCCCCCAAAAAAAAAAAATTTGGTTCTTTGCTCGAAAATATTTCGACTCAAAACCGGAAATATTTTGCCCAAAAAAATGACTGGGGCCCAACAAAAAATTTCAAGGGGCCCCTAAAACCTCGAGGCCCGGGGCAATTTGCCCCCTCCCCTGCCCCTCCCCTTCTCGGCGGCCCTGATAAAGCATGAGGCCTTATATAATTGTTTATCCTAATTAGTATAATTATATAATAATGGTTCATCCTGATTAGTATTCTTTTGTAGTCGTATTTTAAGCTATTGTTTTATCAGACATAAAACGCTCAGCTGCTGTGTTTTAAACAGTACATAAAACATTATAAGACAATGCAACTCTTTCAAACCATGTAAAGGGGAATTACGAGTATTCAATATTTAATACGTTTACATTTCAGAAAACGACGAGTATTCGAAACATTACGAATTTCAAACAGGTCACGTCCGCTTGGGTCACCTGTTTCCAATCCCTTTTTGACTCACGGATACTCCGTAGGAGTATTTGTGAGTCTTTGCCATCAACCACAGAATCAACTATTTCTTTTGTTTTCCTCCAGCCTGCTTTGCGCGCCTGAAACCGGTCGAAACAGTCAGACCGGTTTAGAATGTTTCGTGATTGATTTGTTTTCACAATATTTGCAAACATCGTGTTTTTGGATGATTTTCCATGTCTGGATTTGATATTGCGGTGACGATTGACTTTTTGCTGCGCCTTAATTATCTCTGGTAATATGCTCCCATGCATGAGGATCAAAATACTACTGTTCGATTCAGCGAAAACAATTTTAGTTAAGGATGTCAAATGTATTACTAAACAACATTATTTTGGCGATTTATGGCCTTTAAAAGTCAAGCGAAATTGTATTGTTGACAAATCGCGATAAAATTATTGAACTAATTGAAAATGCAGTACGTTTGATCATCAGATAAATTTGGTATCGTTGGTTTCCTCGTTTTCGGCCATGTACCGGTGGATTCGTCTCACTTTTCTGTTCATTTTGATAGTATGTTGAGTTCAAAATATTTAATTTTGAAGGTTATAAAGAGCAGTTTTAATAAGCGAAATTGTATTGTTGTCATTTGTTGACAAATCGCGCAAAATCATTAAACTAATTAAAAATGCAGTACGTTTGATCCTTGCTAACTTGGCATCGTCCGTTTCTTCGTTTTCGACCGTATACCAGTGCATTCGTCTCACCTTTCTCTTTATTTTGATAGTATTAAGCATTTTGAGCCCAAAATATTTTATTTTGAAGGTTTTAAAATCGTTTTAATACCCGCATACGGACCAATCCATTGGCTGCGACAGGAGAATGTAGCGTACTAAATGATATAAGTTATATAATATAACTTTACTTGTAGACAGTCTATAGGCGGAAACGCCGGAAGTTTTATTTGTCGGGCACCGCATTTTAGTACTGTGTCTGGCTATATAGTTATTTCTGCCGGAGTGCCGGGTTTTAATATTGACTATTTTAAATTGACAATTTTATATTGACTATTTTATTTGATTATTATATTATCTATTTTACTATGTTGCTATTCGCTTATTTACGTAATCAGATTTTGGTATATCCAATCATGTATACTGCAAACATTGCTTGGAAATCGGGGTTCTGATATTAAACATTTAACGATTGAGGCCAGAATTGAGCTTTAACGTCAGATAAACTACCAGGAATATATAGAGAAACATCGCCATTCTCTCTTTTTCCAACTTTAATGAAACTAAATCACATTATTCCCTCTACTAATATTACACGATATGATCCGTGAGTCGTCTCATTGAGACTTTTGATTTAAACTATCCATGCCATGGCCGTAGGAACCACGGGGGCAGAGGGGGCTTAAGCCCCCCTAACATTTAGAAGCAGGGGCTGAGCTCCCTAAAAATTCTAATTTCTAAATGAATCTCGAAATGAATGCACAGTTGAACACGTTTAATACGCATGGCGCAGAGATATATGGCGCAGAGGAAGATTTAATCTTTCTTTACCCATGCTTTATTCCAAATTTAACCCCTAAATGCAGGAAAACGTGTTTCAGAGAGTTGAAAATTAAACATTTTCCCTGGACACATACCCCTGGACCCTCCTAATGGGCGGTTCGCGCCCGCCGTTTAGCCCCCCTAACTTCAATCATCTTCTTACTTCCATGATCCATGCCTTTCATATGCAAATGCTGTTGTTAATAAACTAGCAATTTATTAAGACTGTACGCCCAAAGGCTTACTCATTAGTCTTACAATGGCTGTCTTACTAAGCATTTGTGCGTTAATTTTCGTCTCGCAAATAACACAACGGGGCGAATGCTTGGTTGAGCAAGCTATCTTTCATACAAAGGAGCAAACTTACTTAGCAAATCATGTCATCCAAACGAGACAGGCAGAAACCGAACTAGAGTGTAACATGCATTGCGTCGCTGATGGATCATGTGCATCAGTTAATTATAAAACGTCTGGAATCGGCAAAGGTCTGTGTGAAATCAACAGCAAAACATTGGAAGATATATTTGATGCGGATGGAAGTCTCCATAACCCTGAGTTCAACCATCTTTATATAATCGAAAAGGTATGAAAAATAGAGCATTATTCGATACTGTTGTATGTAGTTATATAAAAGGTTGCTTGCGTGTTATAACAGTGCTGGGTGTTAGTGATATTGAGGTTATAGTGAGGGGCCGATTACATGGACCGGGCTTGCACGCTTGCCGAGGCACTAGTTATTACAAAGCTAGATTATTGTAATGTTGTATATAATCCTCTTCCTAAATATTTAGCTAAAAGGCTCCAGCGTGTACAGTATGCGGCAGCTGGTTTTGTCGCTTCTAAATGGATCATGCAGTGACGTTAAGGAACTTATTAAACTAGGCTGGTTACCTTTGGAGGAAAGAAGGGAGTGACATTTACTTTAAGTCACTCATAAAGCTCCGTACAGTGATAATTGGCCTAATCACCTTAAACTAATTAGAGTAAAGTCACTCCCACACACTACGGTCATGCTCTGCTCCTAAATTGCATATTCCATTAATATCTAACACCTTGCAGGAATCATCAAGCTCTTTCAATGCTTTACCAGATGACATAAGGGTTTGTTGTGATTATAATCAATTTTGTAATATGACTAAACGTTATTTAAGGTTACAGAACACCTTTGAGTGTTAATTTTGCCTAAATTTTTTTATTGCTTTCAATGAAATCTGTCCAAGTTTGGACGAAAAATGTTGAAAATTCGCAGAGTTATTTAGTAAAATACATTTCGCTGCAATAAGAAAAACATTGAAAATGTAATATTCAAATTCAATTTTCTCCCGACAAATTTTACGGTAATTACTGATTTTCAAACGAGTTGTACTCCTGCGAGTTTTAACCAATTTTTCTCAAATTTTCACAGGACATAGGTAAATACGTCAGTTTCAAAATTGTGTTCGTCTTTTTTTTAATTTGGATATTTTAAAAATAAAGAGCAATTTACTCACACAATTCAGAAATATATTGCAGTCGTCAAATAAATCGCCATATCAGCGGAATGACGAAATAAACAAAAATTTCCGAACACAATTTTTTAGAACAACTATTTTACTGTATAAAAATTATATTTTCAAAAATATAACTTAAAACCAGCAGGAGCACAACTCAAAAGCGTAAAGGTACCGCGATTTAAGATTTTCCTGAATAATTCTTACATTATTTTATTGTTTGTTAATTTTACAACTTTACCATATTTTGCATGCACTGGAGAACATTTGGTGAAAATTTGATGAAAATCGGACTGATATTGAGCGCGCAGTAGCGATTTTCCGCAAAACGCCAAAAAGGGTGTCCTGTAACCTTAATGCATCGTGTCATGAATTGATTATCATCCTAAATATGACTATTGAAGCTCTACCTATTTTATCTAGTTTATAAATTTATGCATGTGTACTATAGAATTGAAACATTATGTCCTTATATGCATTTAGTTAAGATTCAGTTGGTGAAGAGCCATTCGTGGAAATACTAAGAACGGAACTGGCGTTTCCGTTCGTCTCCTCTTGTTTGATTACCTCAACGCCTTTGACTTGATTGATCACAACATCCTGGTTCACAAAATCCGGAAGCTCTCAATTCCTCTACCTATTATTAATTGGATTATCGACTTTCTTACATCTAGGGAACAACGAGTTAAACTCGCCAGGGATTGTTTCTCCGAATGGGGAAAAGTTCCTTCCGGAGTTCCCCAAGGGACAAAACTAGGCCCATGGCTCTTTATACTCGGGATAAACGATCCGAATTTAACTGATTTCCAAATGTGGAAATATATTGACGATACTACTGCTGCTGCTGAAGTAATATCAAAAGACAGTCACAGTACCATTCAAACAGGAGTAAACCAGTTGGAAGACTGGACTGTGCAGAATAAACTCCAACTTCAAGTTCCAAAATGTAAAGAACTACTGTTTCAGTTTACGACAGTTAGAAGCCCCTTTCCCAATGTTGTCCTAAGTTCTGGAATTCTCGAACTAGTTGATCATGCTAAAGTTTTGGGACTGACAATCAGTAACGACTTGAAATGGTCCAAACACGTTACCGAAATGATCAAGAAGGTCAACAAACGAAAATACTTCATTATACAGCTTAAACGCGCAAAAGTGCCCGCCAAAGTTATAATTAACTTTTACTGCACATCGAGTACAGCTGCGAAGTTTTCCATTTTGCCCTCCCTACCTATCTTAGTGACGCCATTGAGCAAGTCCAAAGAAGAGTCACCTCAATAATTTTCCCAGGCTTGCCGTATCCCGAGCGTTTGCAAAAATGCAACCTTATTCCCCTCAGTGATCGGCGATACAAAGCCTACTCAAAACTATTCAATCAACTCATCAACAATCCACATCATAAATTATCATCCCTTCTGCCAGAACGTTACTCTGCGAACTACGATTTTAGAAAAACTCGAGAGTTTCATCTTCCAAAGATAAAAACAGATAGATTTTTAAAAACTTTTATACCGGCGTGCATCAAAGAATTTTCTTAGATACTCAATTTTATATAACCTTTTAACATAAATTTTCATAAATCTATTTATAAATACTTATAGTATATATTTTATTAACTTTCTATTTAAAATGTTCCTGTAAATTATAGCTCTATAGAACTTAACCTCTTTTGTAAAATAACACGCAATTCAGTCATTGTAGACAGCAATATATTTCTTTTTAATAAATCTATCTACTTCTGAATAAATTCATTATTATTATTATTATTATTATTATTATTATTATTATCAAAGTTTAAACGAATGCAAATTGCATGTTGATCTTCCTGGATTTGAAAGCCCCTCGATTATTACGGGAGATGAATATCGTCCTGATTTACTTGTCTCTACTTCAGACAAACACCTCTACGTTGTTGAACTTACCGTAGGCTTTGAATCAAACCTCACATGCAAACAATGTTAACCGCAATAAAGCTAAATATAAAAACCTAATTAGAGAACTGGATCAAAACTTTACATTAGTTAAATTTATAAATCTTTCTGTCAGTTCGCTAGGGGTGTTTGACAAAGAATGTCATACATTCGTAAAAATGCTAAATGAGTTAGGACTGGATAATCAATACCAACAATATTGTATCAGAAAAATTATATCTATTGCCATCCGATCAACGTACTACATATTTTGCTGTAGAAATAAAGAATGGACAAATCCCGAACTAATGAACATTTAAAGTAACTATTTCTATAAATAAGTAGCAATTTTTGTATATAAAATTATAACCATGCATGTATAAGTGATTCTAGTAGTCAATTGTAGGTTACCTCAAGAAGTGAGATTTACAATTGTATATATCTATAAATGTTCTATTAATAAAGTTTTCATTATTATTATTATTATTATTATTATTATTATTATTATTATTATTATTATTATTATTATTATTATTAACAAAAACATCCAGAAAGAACAAAACAAAACATCCAGAAAGGTTTCACTCCAAAACTCTCAGGAACACTAGAACATACTGTTCAGATGGCACATATAATTAACACAGCGCGTACCAAGCAACGATCTATAGTTATTACATTACTCGATCTTAAAAATGCATTTGGCGAAGTCCATCATAACCTCGTTTACGAAGTCCTTGATTATCATCACGTTCCTAATCACATAAAGAACCTTATCTGCAGTCTTTACACTGATTTCCAAACTTCCATCATAACCGAACAGTTTAACACCCCCTTCATTACAGTCGGTCGTGGCGTTCTTCAAGGCGATTGTCTCAGTCCACTTTTATTCAACATGTCATTCAATACTTTCATACAACATATTAAATCTGAAAAATACCGTCAGCTTGGTTTTTGGAAATTAAGTGAAATTGGCATTCCGTGCAATCCTATACATTGGTTTCAGTTTGCAGACGATGCTGCTGTCATCAGTAGCCAAGAGAAAGAAAATCAAATGCTCCTTAATCGTTTTACAATCTGGTGTCAATGGGCTAATATGATTATACGCGTTGACAAATGTTCAACATTTGGCATTAAAAAACACTTAACTAAATCTATCCAGTATTTACCAAAGCTTTTCGTTAATAACTATCTTGTACCCAGAACCGAAATGGGCAAATCTTTCCGTTACTTAGGTCGCTATTTCGATTTCAATATGTCTGATGAGGAACACAAATCGGAATTACTCGACGTGTTTAATGACATCATGAATAAAATTAATGAACTACCTTTACACCCGAAAAATAAAATTCTACTATACAGTCGTTACTTGCTGTCAAAGATATCCTGGGAGTTCACTGTTTCTGATATATCTAAGACCTGGATCTGCGAAACGTTAGACAGTATTGCGACAAAATATATCCGAAAATGGCTGGAACTTCCTGTCTTTGCAACCCTTAGCAACGTGTTGCTTCCACAAAACAAATTTGGTCTGAATATTATTCTCCCTTCGACAAAATTTATCCAATGTCAAATTGTCTCTCGATCAGCTTTAAAATACTCACCAAACGTAGATATTAACAATCTATGGGCGGTGACGAGCACCAACAAGAACATACAGTATGACATTTACAAAGACACAAAAGACGTACTTAAGGTGGCTCCCTACAGTTATTCTTGTTTAAGCAATAATTCCGTAAAACAGGCATGTTCGTGCAGAACGCGAATTTTTTTCGACTTGGTGGTAATATTGGTCACCAAAGGAATATTTCGAACTAGATTTCGACGATGTCAATGTTCCCATGGCAACATAACGACAGCATAAAACCTTCAATTTAACCCATAAATGTGCCGCTATCTCAAAAACGATGTCGGTGACCTATCTATTTTATTTCATATATCAATAAGGAATGATGCTCTGCAACTGTGGTGAAATTTTAAAAAAATTCTGTAGTGTGTGATTTTTTTAAAAGCGAAAAATTTATTGCGAAATTTGCACACTACAGATTTTTTTAAAATTTGAAATTTATAAAATTTACCGCAAAATAAATTCGTGGTCAAAATTTGAAGATAGGTCACCGATGAAACTAATGAGTAAAATGAAAATAAAGTTAGAAAATAGCCTCGTGTAACTCGAGAAATTCTCCTATTGAAAAGCGTCGCTGACTAGTAAAAGATTGTACGCGGGCGCAGAACGAGTTTTCATTCAGCAAAATCGAGCCGCAATGTTGTTCTTACTGTTTTGTTTTTGTCAACTTTTCGATTTATTTGAGTGCTATGGACAGCCAAGGATTATTGTGAAGGATTAAATCGATGAAAACAAGGTTGAAGCTAATTGAATCCTGCCGTTTACTCAATCTATGAGCTGTAACAGCCTATCAACAGGTGGACGTGTTTTTTTGTTTCATGTTTGGTTTTGTGCTTTTTGCTCAAAATGAACAATTAGGCTATGAAACTGAAATATTTTTCTGTTTACATATAATCAATTTAATCTTGTAGAAACACGAACGTTTTCATGAGAAGTAAACAACTTTTTAAACGTTTGTATGCAATTTTGCAAATATTTTACAGTTGAGTCAGTTGACAGTGTATAAAAATATTCAAAATATTGTTTCGTAACTATTTTTGGTCTAGTGATATTCGTATCATATGTAGAATTGCTGTATATACTCGCAAGTGATTTGGCACTCTAAACGAAGTATTATTCATCTCTTTTTTCCATTAGAAACCTTTCATAAATAGCTTTATTTTTAAAAAAAGGATGGTCAATTTTTGTTTTGTTTTGATCATGCAGTTGCGTGAGATAGTTCACGTACTTGTCCCGCGAACATGCCGCGCGGAACTGTAGGGAGCCTCCTTAAGGCAGTTGGAAAAGAAAACGAACAAAGACTTCAAAACCACCTCATTTCACAAGGTTCTTTCTTTTCCAGTATCATGAATCATTCCACATCCACATTCAACTCTTTATGGTCATCCGTTCAGAGCAAACTTCCGAAAAACATTTTTAACTTCACCATCCGATATATCAATAACACACTTCCAACACGAAAGAACCTATCAAAATGGGGACTATCATCAACATCCGATTGCTCTTTCTGCTCCTCACCTGAAACGCTGCTCCATGTGATTGCTGGATGTAAGACATATTTAGACGAAGGCCGGTTTACATGGCGACACGATTCTGTTTTAAATTTCCTCGCATCCACTCTTACTGCTGTGAAAAATTCCACCCTTTACGCGGACATTCCTGGTTTTATGAATCCATCTGTTATCACGGGAGATCGTTTACGACCTGACCTTCTGCTGGTGACTGAAAACAGATGTCTATACATCCTCGAGCTTACAGTCGGTTATGAATCCAATCTGCTAGTTAACGCCAATCGTAAGCGTCAGAAGTACCGTGATCTAATCAATGAGCAGGAAGCAGATTATGCATGATAAAGTCAAGTTCGTCAATTTATCCTTGAGTACCCTCGGAGTTTTTGGCCGATCTTGTGAAAATTTCGATGGCATGCTAAGTAGCCTTAAATGTGATGCCAAGTATAGTAAATACATAAAAAAGCAAATCGTGAACATATGCATACGAACATCATATTATGTATTTTGTAAACGAAACAAGGTGTGGGATAACCCAAAATTAATGTTAATATAATCCTTCTTAAAATAACTATTGTACAATAAATATATAGTATCAATTCAAGTAGACATTGATAAACTACCTGTAAAGCGAGGTTTGTCATTGTAGTTGTATATATCCTAATAATCAATAAATAAAGTTTCCATTATTATTTAAGTCCGTAAAATTTGTAAATTTGTCAATTAGTTCTTTTAGCGTTTTCTCAAAAGAATGCCATTCCTTTTTAGATATATGTTAACTGATCTAGGTCTTGATAAAAGACACCAATATTTCGCTATCAGGAAAATTATGTCTATCGCGATTAGGATAACATATTATATATTTTGTTGCAGAGATAAGGACTGGTTAAATCCGGAATTAAAGATACTCATTATTAATATATAAATATTAAGTAGGTTCAAGTAGTCAATTATAAATTACCTAAATTAGTGAGATTTATAATTGTATATATATACGTATATAATTTCAATAAAGTTTCCATTATTATTATTATTATTATTATTATTATTATTATTATTATTTTTATTATAGCACGCATACTATAATCTCATATAAATTTTAAGTTTCGATTACATGGCAGCCTCGCAACCGGGCTGGTCCGGCTAGCCAGGCTGAAATTCGCCATGTAATCGCATCAGCCCGGCATACAGGGCTGAAATTTGGAAACGCACGGTTTTTATTTTGAAAATATAAACAATAATAGCACAAAAAAAAACACAAAATTGAACTAAAAAATTCAAAAATAAACTCTTAAACGTTTTAGATAGTGAATCGACTGGACTTAGTGGAGCATAACCGAAGAAATGTAATCGGCCCCTTAGTGGACATGTTTTCATCTACTTATAAAGCAGACATTGAAATATGAATCATATCGGTCAGTGTCGTTCTTCGATCATGTTTAACTCGGCCTCAACCCACTGTATTGTTTCTGGAAATTAGGGTTCTCTGGGCCGGGATATATGCATGTTTAGACAACCAACTAGCACTTATGAATTTTCTATATTCACTATATAGTGCTAGCGTTATAGACGAATGAAAGATCCTTAAGTGTATTGAGAGTTGTAAATGGTGGATTTTTAGTGTATTTTTCGAACCATTAGTGTTCTATAATTCGAAAAAGACGATTCTATAAGGAAATTGGGGTTAAATCATTTTGCGTCGTTATAAACACTGAGCAGATTAGCTATATAACAAACGTACTTGCAGGGAGGTGAGTCCGGGATTGGACGCACCGAGGGTGGCTGGATGTTTCCCGAACTTACCGAGCGAAGCGAGGTGAGTTCGGGAAACTTCCAGCCACCCGAGGTGCGTCCAATCCCGGACTCACCGAACCTGCAAGTACGTTTGGTTTTTATCCCATACACCGAGCCATACACACATTTGTAGCTCTTCGCGATATATTCGTCGATGTTTTGTGAACATTTTCCCGGCCAAAAAAATCACTGGGCAAGAAAATACTTCTTTATCTACGTCTACATTACCTTTACTGCATTTTTTCTTTGGTTTTTCTTCAGTCCCAGTATGCTAGTCACCGAAAAAAGTTCTTTAAAGTTTAGGTTTATCGGCTAAATCTTGTCCGCCATATTTGTTATTGTTATTGCAACGTAAGCAGTTTAGCGGGTGAGTTCGGGCGAAAAGCAGGTGAGTTCGGCAAAAAGCAGGTGAGCTCGACGACAAGCTCACCTGCTCTAAACCAATCACAAAGCCGCTTTTAACACAGGTATGGGATAAGACATGCAGCTGTCCATTGCATACTCCCTCTGAATTAAAATAATTTTAATTTTTAGAGCTGGAATCAAAATTCCCATTAAATAGTTTATATAACTATGTATCCTAGTTTTTCTCGTTATTTGTGAATATATGCAAAGAGTAATTTGTGTAAAACAGCATTTGCTGCATGAGAGATAAACAGTGCGCTAAAATAAAGTGAAAGATCTATGTAGAGTCGTCAAAAATCTATGTAGAGTAGTGAAAATATTTTGAAAAACTCAGCGATTTTCAACAATTTTCAAGACAATATACATTTTCTTTTAAATTGACATTTCAGTTGAACATTTCCTACAAAGCGCCCAACGTTGCTATTTAAACATAGACCTTTTTCAAATGATATGTAAACAAACTTCTATGTTTTGGGCAGGCATATAATGTGAAAAGCTCACTTAACATATTACAACAGCTGCATAAAGATACATGTATGAAAATTATGTTCATATAATAAGCAAATATACATGCAAAATTTCTTTATATAGCAATACGCTAGTTTATATAAGAACCTATAAATTTGACAGGCTTGTGCCGCGCAGTAGTATAAGAAGCATTGCATGCAGGCATGTCCATCTATAAAAGCCCATTCAAGGAGGCAATGATATATTGCAGATATGTTATAGAGAAGGTTTCAAAACTCAAAGAACAAGTTCACAATAATGCACAAATTGTATTGCATTCGGTCTTTCACTTTTTATAACAATACTAAATGCTATATCCTTTTACACATAAGGCGTACGGGGTTGATGCTTAACACGGGGCAGTTGAAAGTTTGCCAGAATTTTGATGAAGAACTGTATAAAACACGTTCTAGAGCAAAGTGAAATATTCTATTTAACTGAATTCCGCACAAAACCTAAGCAAATATGCTGTTTTTGCACGAAATTTGACCAATATGCTGCTAATAATTGGAATATAATGAGATTCTTGCAATCTGTCTATTCATTCATGCGGGATTCCCTACATTTTATTAATATTTGCAACAAAACCCAACAAAATCAAGAACTGCAGCATTGCAAGAAATTAGGAAATTTTAATGAAATTGAATGATCTTGAAGCAAATGAGAATAGCAATGCCGTTTATTGTAAAATCACGCATATTTAGCAGGAATGGGAAATTATCTTGTTGACAAATCTTTAATATAATACTATATTTTGCAACCCGAATAAAAACGAAGACAAAACGGAGATATTTTGCCCGATATTGCAATTACGAAGCATTTATATTTCTCACTGCAAGTTGGCACTGCATTTGTAGTGACAAATTGGCAATTTGAAAATTTGGCACTGCAATTGCAGCGACAAATTGAAAATTTGGCACTGCATTTGCAGCGTCAAATTGAAAATCTGGCACTGCATTTGCAGCGCCAAGTTGAAATTTTGGCACTGCATTTGCAGCGACAAATTGAAAATTTTGCACTGCATTTGCAGCGTCAAATTGAAAATTTGGCACTGCATTTGCAGCGCCAAGTTGAAATTTTGGCACTGCATTTGCAGCGACAAATTGAAAATTTGGCACTGCATTTGCAGCGCCAAGTTGAACTTTTGGCACTGCATTTGCAGCGAAAAATTGAAAATTTGGCACTGCATTTGCAGCGCCAAGTTGAAATTTTGGCACTGCATTTGCAGCGACAAATTGAAAATTTGGCACTGCATTTGCAGCGCCAAGTTGAAATTTTGGCACTGCATTTGCAGCGGCAAATTGAAAATTTGGCACTGCATTTGCAGCGCCAAGTTGAAATTTTGGCACTGCATTTGCAGCGGCAAATTGAAAATTTGGCACTGCTTTTGCAGCGCCAAGTTGAAATTTTGGCACTGCATTTGCAGCGCCAAGTTGAAAATTTGGCACTGCATTTGCAGCGACAATTTGAACATTTGGCACTGCATTTGCAGCGCCAAGTTGAAAATTTGGCACTGCATTTGCAGCGACAAATTGAAAATTTGGCACTGCATTTGCAGCGCCAAGATGAAATTTTGGCACTGCATTTGTAGGGACAAATTGAAAAATTGGCAGCCGCACTGCAATCTTATTTGTCTTCGTTGTTTACTGAACAATGCCAAACAAGTTTGAATAAAAAAAGATAAAAATGGCGCTTTCCATTAGCATGGCCAAACCGGTCAGAACGGTCAAATTGTTGAATGAAACACAAAACATTTGGGCTTCGGACCTATCTAACCGAATATTTTTGATAACATTAGATTGAGGTCCATTTTCGCTAGACATTTGAGAAACATAGATGCTGAGAAAAGTATTCAGGTCTGACCGGTCAGGCCATTGAATGGAAAGCGCCCATAGATGAAATATTGGAGTCAGTTAATGTTTTCCCAATATAGATTGTTTAATTCAATATGACTTGATATATTATTTATGTCAGAAAAAAATGTGTTTGTCTGAAAAATGCTGCCATTTATTAATTAAGGTAGCAGTTTATTACATTTTGTTTGTTACTGTAGTTACTGAGTTCAGGTGATTTATTATTTTAGTCTCTGACTCTCTGTAAAACCAACCTCACCTTTACCACGGATTTTTCAGAATAATTAACAATTATTCGCCGAAGGCGAGGTGATTATCGGTGAATAAAAACCGAGACGAAGTCGAGGTTTTTATTCACGATAATCACCGAGCCTGAGGTGAATAAGTGTTTTAGTATAATTTCATAGGTGATTATTTGGAAAAAAAATTTAAAATGCACATTTCTTCGTCATTTAATTGACAAAACGGCTTCGGCCGCCATTTTGAAAATTGCTTAGGTGATTATCGCGTAATAATCACCTCAACAGCAACCAATCAGCGTGGAGAATTTTCAATAATCACCTATGTAATTATACTAATACACTTGTTATGCCCTTCAACAGACAAGCCACTCCCCAAGAGCACTACATGCATTTTGATCACATGTTGTGATTTGTCTGCCTTCAAACATCTAAGAGTTCTTCATACAACTTTACTGGCTCTTGTCTTAATGTAAGTCATATGTAATACCACTGTCTTTTTCTTTGCTGATCATTTCCTCGGGAACAGAAAAGGGAAGGTTTAGCTTGTGAGTAGACATTGCTCTGCCAAAAATAAATTATTTTAGTGGAATTATGGCCATTTGAATATTCATCCCTATAGTATATATATATATATATATATATATATATATATATATATATATATATATATATATATATATATATATATATATATATGTGACAAATGCCAGTACTCTGCTCAGCCGACAAGACTTCATATGTGACAAACAGAACGGCTACGTTTGAAGAAGTTTATTAAAAAAAGGTATATTAAATACAAAAACTATTTTAAAAAATATTGTATTTAATATACCTTTTTTTAATAAACTTCTTCAAACGTAGCCGTTCTGTTTGTCACATATATATATATATATATATATATATATATATATATATATACATGAACTTGTGGTTAGAGCTTGACAACTGGTGTCAAGGTGTGTTGGTTAGAGTGTTGTACTGCCATTACCGGAATTTGCAGTAGGTTCGATTGCTGCCAGGGACCTGTATCAGTTGCATTTTTTGCAACTTATCCTGGTTAAGTCTAACAAATGTATAAAATTTCTACTCAGTAATTTACATCATTAGACTACAAGACACTTCAACTACATAATTGTAGAGTAGAGCACATCAAATATTAAGAGGCAGTTAAATGTATTCAATTTTGGAAATCTGTCTTCAAATGTGATTCAATATGTAATCTAGCACAGTAGGCAGACATCTACACAACTTAACTATACATTGAACATTGAACGAACAAGGAAAACTTGTGTCAGTCAATGTCTGGCAAATAGCCTTTGACTTTGATATCAGATAAACATGATAAACAATATATACATAGTTTCTAAGTTAGGCAAGGCATGAGCAAACTAAGAATTTGGCACCCATCCCTGCAGTTCTCATTCACCCTAACATTGGAACGACTGGAATCGTGTACAGGTATAAATATGTTTCATTTCATAGCTCAAATCACCAAAATTGCACAATTATGGTGTAAGGAAAATATTAGACATTTAGTTTTAATAATATATACTCATTAATAATTAGCCGGCTTAAACCATTGACATGTGGTTTCACCTGGTCTGAAGAGTTGGTCCACAGTGATTGAGTCTGTGGCATTTAAATTTTAGCTATCTGGGGCCAGATGTTCAAAGCTAGGTTAGCATTAACCCAGGGTTAGCAATAACCCGAACAGTTAACAGGCCCCTTGGGGACGACTGGCATTATGTATAGATATGTTTCATTTGATAGTTCAAATCACCAAAATTGCACAATTATGGTATAAGGAAAATATTAGTTTTAATCATATATACTCATTAATAATTAGCCGGCTTAAACCATTGATATGTGGTTTCACCCGGTCGGATGAATTTGTTCACAGTGATTGAGTCTGTGGCATTTAAATTTTAGCTATCTGGGGCCAGTCGTTCAAAGCTGGGTTAGCATTTAAACTTAGGGTTAGCAATAACCCAAACAACAGGCCCCTTGGGGACGACTGGCATTATGTATAAATATGTTTCATTTGATACTTCAAATCACCAAAATTGCACAATCATGGTGTAAGGAAAATATTAGATTTTTAGTTTTAATCATAGTTCAAAGCTGGGTTATAAATAACCCCAAACAACCAGCCCCTTGGAGACGGTTTTTAAAAGTTTGGTTAGCTTAACCATAGGTTTATTAGTTTATTTAGCTTTTTATACATAAGCTAAAATTCACAGCAAACTTCCTGACAGCAATGGCTTGTCTATTAATTTGGAAATATTTTTTCAGAGATCTAGTCTGGATCGGTGTTTTAAATACAACCGACCCCTGATGAGCGGTTTTAAAGCGCCAGCATAAAACCGCTAAATATTTAATACTACACTGGGTTTATACGAAAGAATTCTGTCAGGTTTTCCTTTGATAAAATTTGTTTAATATATTAATAAAGCCAGCCAAACAATGCAGCTGTGAGCTGACACATCGTGATGCTATTATCCCCGAGCCGGCGGCGCGAAGCGCCGTGCGAGGGTACTAATTCCCCACGGCTATTTACACCCGGGGAAACGAAAGCATTAGCGAAGTCTAAAGTTCATCAAATATCGCGGGCGTGGCTCACCAACGATGTTTCGGTGGGTGGTCATCCTCACTGATCTCAAAAATATGGCGGACTGTCATGAATAGCGGACACTGATTGGTCCAATTTAAAGTTTGCATTATAACGACTGCATGCCGACAGCGAAATAGCAAACATTTCTTGATTTGATGATTGATAAATTTCTTGCAAATATATTTCATTTTTGCTCGCATTTTGGCAAGAATTTGTAAATTTCAAAAGCTCTCTCAGAAAGAAACTGCGAAAGAATCGGCTAAAAGAAGGGAGCCGACGTTAACGAAGGTAAGTTTGTTTTAAATATTTGATTTTATAATGGCTTTAAAACCCGACGGCCTTTGCGTATGAAATAACTAACAAGACAGCATATAATTTCATTGTATGTTTAATATGATATTCAAATTTTTAAGTAAAAAAGAAAGCAAAGTTATTTGCAAGCGAAAATTTGAAATCATTTTATTGCAAACTCAAAGTTTATCGATAAATTAAGCCATTTTAAAAGGCAGATTAGTTTTAATATAAAGAACACTGGTGACTTTAAAACGTTTTGCGAAGCGTTTGTGGTTGAATTTTACCTTAAATTGAGGCTTATATTACGTATAATAACATACCTAACATATATATGTTGAGAAATTAATAATTTTGTAATTAAAAGTGATTTTTTCAGGCGATTTTTCATTTGCAAGAATATTGAATATTCTTAAAAAATTATTGTGTTACCATGACAACTACTTTAGATACTTCATGTTCGGAAAATACAGTGGTTTTGTCAGCAAGGCGAGGGTTTCTGCATGCATGCATTTTCTAGTAATTTAATAAAACGAGAGCTAAACTTGCAGCAAAATGCAAATATGGAGCGATGCATATAAACAGCAAAACGTACTAAACTATAAAGCACACAACATACAGTACCTTTAGTCTCTGCCTTTAGCCGGCGTGTCGCTTTCAGAATTCAGACGGCAAATTCATAGTCCAAAACATATTCTTCGATACTCCTCTTTGCACCAAGAATAAGTTACATGTTTACGTAGTCTGTATTAGCGTGTGCTATTATACTAAACAATACGTTTTACTCCGCATAAAAACTGTTCATATATTGGCATAAATTTTCGAGTAAATTTTAGCTTTGTCAGCTCGTAACGCGCGTTTGTCTGTCAAGGTTAGCACTCTAACCAACTGAGCTACAGAGGCCAGCTGTTAAGCTGTAACAGCAAGTTCATGTATATATAGGTAATCCGGTGTGCGGGTTGTGATAAGGTGGACTTCAATAATTTGGATTCTTGCACTTCACTTGGTGGAATTAATATTAGAATGTTAGGGTTTGTAATCCAAGTGAGAATAATATATATACATTTTAAGACCTAACCAGGAACGACTGCGAAAAGTGCAGCACAAGGTCCTCTGGTAGGAATTGAACCTACGGCCCTGCGAATCCGGTGCAGCGCTCTAACCAACTGAGCTACAGAAGCCAGCTGTTGAGCTGTAACCGCAAGTTCATGTATATATAGGTAATGTTGATAGTTCGTCGCATTGGCCGTTTTTATACTAGAGACGCATTATGCGTCTGGACGCATAATCCGTCTTCTACATTATTGTCTAATATTATTCCCGTCTTTATACTAGACGAATAATGTAGAAGACGGATTATGCGTCCAGAATCATAATGCGTCTCTAGTATAAAAACGGCCAATGTCTTGAGTTGGTGCTGCAATTGAAGTGCCAATAAATTAACGTTATAGTCTATATAGATCATATGTCAATGCCTTCAGTTGGCGCTGCAATTGCAGTGCCAATAAGTTATACTGTAGATCATATGTCAATGCCTTTACTTGTTAGTTGGCGCTGCAATTGCAGTGCCAATAAGTTGTATATCATATGTCAATGCCTTTAGTTGGCGCTGCAATTGCAGTGCCAACAAGTTATAGATTATATCTAAATGCCATGAGTTGGCGCTGCAATTGCAGTGCCAATATGTTGTAGATTTTATGTCCATGCTTTCGAGTTGGCGCTGCAATTGCAGTGCCAAAATATAGATTTTATGTCAATGCTTTAGGTGACTGTAATTAGTGTAAACTATTTTGTATATAAATGTCAGGATGATGCTAAAACGACCAATTTATATCGAATCTTGCAACACTTCATTTGTTGTGGCAAATTATTGTCTAAATTTGGCTTTTTAGCATTAACGAAACGAATTTTGTTCATTTGTTGACAATTTTTAGAATTTTGGTCAAATTTGGCATGAATTTTCTTAAATAGAATATTTCACTTTGCTCTGGAACGTGTTATAATGAAATAAGCTGATTTTAACGTATTTTCTATAATAAATCCGCCGAAATTTTCTTGATTTCCCCCAGCATTTGCCCGAATTTCCACGGTTTTTGTTATACGTGCTATGCTTTTACAACTCTGTTTTCTATTTATAGAAAAATCTTCACCGGGAAATTAAGGAAGAAGTTCCAACAAGTCAGCCCATCATGAAACAATGTAAAAATTATCTATTCGTCCTTTCAGTTTTCTAAGAATATTAAATTTTATGCTTTTAAATAACTATTCTTTATAATTACATCGAGTGGGACAGATCGTTCGACTCCTCAACCAACAAATATGTTCATAATGAATCAATGTAAAAGATCTATATTCACCCTTTCATGCAAACAATATAATTTTTTTATTATTTTAAATATTACTCTTCTCTCTAATTATAGCAAAATCTACGGCGAAAAAGACGGAGGTTACGCCAAAGCAACCCGCAAGTAATATTAGAATGAATCATGATCAAATGCAATAAATTTAGATATAAATTCTATATTCGCCTTTTCATGGGCTTTTGGAGAACATTGTTAAATTTATAATTTATGCTTTAAAATAACTCTTCTTAATAATTATAGCAAAATACTATGTTCCAAGGCATATATAATGTTCGTAGTAAACATGTGGAACAACAAATCAAGCCATAAGCAACTTTGCTAAGAATTAAGATTGTTCCACAAAGTAGTCAACTAGTAGTTAAATGCTTGTAGTTAACTTGGCGCCTAATCTGTGATCTTTCTCATAGCAAAATCTGCTGTATCAGAAATGACAGTTGCTCCAACAACCCAATCAACAAGTAAGTTCACAATTAACCAATATGCAGTACTAAAATTTTCTAAGTTTAAAGATTAGTAATGTTTGCAGTTACAAAATGCTGGTGTTCATAACATCACCTTTCCACAGAGCACCATCGATAATTAGATGCCAAGAAGATCGATCAAAGCCGACAATTTGAGAATTTTTAAATTTTGCTTAATAAAGTACTATTATGTTCATATTATACAGTCACATGGTGATAGTCTGTGGGCTCCAAACTTGCGCGGTATATGCAAGATGAGATCTTGCAGTTGTGAGGTAGATATTTATTAAGCATACCAAGCATGCAATTAGCTTTAGTGACTTTGTCGTACGTATGTGTGTTCCATTTCAGATTACAACAAACTGTCGATGTTGTATATTACAAAATCTGAGAATAAGGTAGCTCGATTCCAACTGGCAGCCGCTGGTTGTTAAACTGTCTTGCGACGAATGTAGTGTAATTTGTAGTTTAATATTCTCTAACGCAGTGCGAGGTTGAATGCAAATTTCTGTTTTATGCATGCATGCTTGCGATTTTGAAAAATCGTGGCCTTCTTTTGTGGCCTTCCGTGCAAATGGTTCATACTGGAATTTACGTATTTTTGTAATGAACAACTGCGCGAGGTAAGTGCTATTTAGTCGAGTTTTGACTAAAACGTCACGCCCAAGGTAGAAGTTTACGTGATTATTTGGAATGTGGCAAATACAGACCACACTTTTCCCCGGGTTGGGGGAAGTGGGATTAAATTTGATTCTTGCGCTAAATGAACAAATATAGTAATTATTAATCTATATACAAATATAAAAAAGCCGGATAGTTAATTAGCGACTAAATTTTTCAATAGCCGGTTCGATTATTCAGCGTATTCTGAATACAAATACCAGCATGCTTTTCGGACGTGTTATTGCATAATGTCCACAATCAAGAAAATACCCGCAAAGTATCGTGGTAGTTGTGAATACGTAATAATTAGGGGAACCGGCTAGTAGCTTTGTTTTGCAACTGGCGATTTCGAAAAGTTTCAAAAACGTTCTATCTTATACCCAAATTAGTCGCTTACACCATCGCGTTGTGCAATCCACCTTTTCGATCTATGATAAAAAATTCAGAAAGAAATTGATTATGTCCGTAATTTCTGGCCATAAGTCTCCGATATATGATTTAAAAATCCATTAACGCGCACTTTAATATGTATTAAAAATATACTGCTCTGGAATCAACATAATGCCATATAGTGATACTCATTAAAATAGACAGAATATTTTATATTTCAAGTTTATTTTTCATGCATATAGGATTATCAATTACATGTTTGCAAGGATTTTTCAGATTTTGTGGACATTGATATTTTTTACTTTAATGGCTTTCCTTCAAAGAGTAACTAAGACAATTTTGGAAGGAGTCTCCCCGTCGAGCGAATGGGCTCTGCTCCCGAAATTCCCACCTATGTTTATCTGTTTCATTGTTAAAGCCGTTTTACTCGAATATTGCGAAACGGCGAATTGGTCATTAACGCGTATCTTTTTTGCCACTTAGCACAACCAGCTAAAGAATTTCTCATCTACAACAAAGGTCATAACAAGTGCATCTCAATTGGAAATGAAAGAATCGCGGCAAGATCGTGCAACCCGATGACAGATAGTCAAAGATGGCGCTGGACACAATATGAGCAACTTCAAAGTATTTTCAATCAAACATGTCTCAGCGTACGTGAAACACCAGTAAACTGGGTCCGTGTGAAATTATCCACATGTGATCGCCATGACACATATCAAGTGTGGGATTGCGTAGATGACTTTGTCAGGTTGAAGGGCACAGTGTTAAACTTGAATTACGGAAATCTGCAAGGAGGAGACAATGTTGTGTTGTGCAATTTGACTGGGGGGTGGAGTAAGTGGAAGGTCTATGGAGAAGACGTGCGTGTGTCTGAAAAACGGCCCCAAGGTATATTGACGATAAAGGCTGGATTCCAATTACGCGTTTTTCATACGTGCGTACACTCACGTAAAAGTTGAATTCGCTTTTCATCCTACTTATGAAATAACTAAATTTATAATAGGACAGCATTCAGTTTTGTGTATGATTTAATGTCTATTTGTTAAGGTTATTTGCACTTATATGAAATTTTAAGCGAATTCAACTTTTACGTGCGTGTACGCACGTATGAAAAACGCGTAACTGGAATGCAGCCTTAAGTAGAGATGTCATGTGTTGCACGCTTTCATTATTGCAAGGGACGAGTTTTTGGAATGTGCGCATGCTTTTAACCCTTAATTGCGTCCCTGGTCTGGGTCCTGCAACACTGAATGTATTTGACTTCGTTATAATTTACTATATAATTTATAAGGAGTCTCCCCGTCGAGCAAATACATGGGTCCGCTTCCGAAATTCCCACGTCTGTTTATCTGTTTCATTGTTAAAGCCGTTTCACTCGAATATTGCGAAAGCGAATTGGTCATTAACGTGATTTTTCTTTTAACGCGTATCTTTTTGTCCACTTAGCACAACCAGCTAAAGAATTTCTCATCTACAACAAAGGTCATAACAAGTGCATCTCAATTGAAAATGAAAGAATCGCCGCAAGACCGTGCAACCCAATGACAGATAATCAAAGATGGCGCTGGACACAATATGAGCAACTTCAAAGTATTTTCGATCAAACATGTCTCAGCGTACGTGAAACACCAGCAAACTGGGTCCGTGTGAAATTATCCACGTGTGATCGCCATGACACATATCAAGTGTGGGATTGCGTAGATGACTTTGTCAGGTTGAAGGGCACAGTGTTAAACTTGAATTACGGAAATCTACAAGGAGGAGACAATGTTGTGTTGTGCAATTTGACTGGGGGGTGGAGTATGTGGAAGGTCTATGGAGTGGATGTGCGTGTGTGTGAAAAACGGCCGCAAGGATATTGAAGATAAATACAGATGTCATGTGTTGCACGCTTTCGTCATTGCAAGGGACGTCGACGAGTTTTTGGCCTGTCCACATGCTTTTAATCCTCGAGAATATCACACTTTTATGCTTTCCATAAATAATGTTTTTTTATAATTATAGCAAAATCTACACCGAAAAAGGCAAATAGTATTCCACACCAGAGACTATTAGTTTATTACATCATATTCTTCCTTCAGGATTTTCAAGATTATGAATTAGTATTTAATTTATTTATTACTATTTAGTTGTATCATATATAAAAAATGCGAATATGTAAAGTCTTCAAAATGTAAAGTCTTGTAAATGTATATAGAGTGTTGAAAATGTAGAGTGTTGATAATGTGGTAATAATAAGCCTTGAGAATGTACAGTCCCTCATGTACGCCCATATGACCAGAGTCGTATCCAACATTGCGAGGGGAGACAGCAACTTCCCCCAGAAAGAAAATTTAAGTTACTAATTTTAAAAACTTATTATACAAATTATTTAACGAAATGGCGCTGATAATATGTGAGTCAGAATGTATGAGACTGCCCTAAGCATACATGCATCTAACTGATATAGCGCCTTTGAATGCAATGACATTTTGGTACTTATTTCAGCATATATATAGGTATTATACACTATTAGAACCGAACTTAAGGCAAATGTTTTCACGGTAACAATGCCGTAACTAACGTAAACTTCCTGACTATTTAATAAACCAACAGCCCACATGCGGGTTTTTATTTAAATTCACTCCCCTTCAAAGCGAGCCTTATTAAGAAAAGGGTTGATTTGCGGAAAATTTAGGCAGCGTCTATAGTAGAAACATTGCAGTGTCCTTCAGATCTCTGAGTTTTTTACCGCGGCGTCTTGTTTTGATCGAGACTCCGGCGTTGACAAACTCGCATATGCTTTTGTCGGTGTCATAGAAAAATTTTTACTTTCTTATACGCTTAAATTGTTTATTAATTGCATCTATAAATATTCGACTCGATAGAAACACTATGCATGGAGATGCTTAATAATATAGGGTTATACTTTGGATCTTCCTACAACACGAATAAAAGTTTGTTGTAGTTATAAGTTCTAAACGAAATTTAAAACTCTTACATTTGAAGTTTATATTAAAGAATTTAACGAATAACTCGCCGTGTTTTGTGTATCTTTACTTCTTATTTTCAATTTGCCTTGTTTAACATTTTCATGTCTCGCAATGACCATATATAGCATGCTGCTAAGAAAGAAAGTGCATTAAGTGGCATGGTATAAAATTAGTCTATTTAAAATTAAAAAAGTATAATTTTAGTATATAATGTGCTTTAGTATAAATTTCCAGGTGACTATTGATTTTTCTGCATTCTGATTGGTCTAGATTCACTGTCTCTCAAGTGATAGTCACTGGTCAGTGACTATAGCCTTTTTTTCAAAATGGCTGCTCGTTTTTCCGTAGTAACAGAGGAGGAAATTGCCAAAATTAAAGAAGATAGCATTCCGAAAAAACCCAACCAAGCTACAAAATATGGTTTAAAAATATTTCAAGGTAAAATATTAAACTTTACGTGCTTTTATTTGGAAAAAAACTGGCTTAGTCGCAACGCGACACAGAGCCGTGTCCGAGATTTAAATTTTGTAAACAAACTATTTATAGTGAAAATAAATTTATTTGAAGTGAATTTTTATAAAGTTGCGTGGATTATTGTTTGTAAACACCTAGAAATTTATACTAAAACAATTAGTCGCCTCAGACTCGGTGATTACAAGCCTATATTCACTTCGCCTTCGGCTCAGTGAATATAGATTTGTAATCACCTCGCCTTCGGCGACTAATTGTTAAATAAAGTTTAATAGCATGCATGCACTATCGGTCAACGTTTTGATGGGTGAATAAGTCTTGCTGCTGGAACAACATTGTTTATCTATATACTAATTTATTGATCAGAATTACTATAATACAATATACTAAAACAACTAGTAAGTTTGACTGCAGGCCAAGGAACGCATTCTCTAAACCGAAATGACACCTGTTCTACAGAACACAGTAAAAGAAGTTTGTCGTAAACATTGGATTCTACGTCTTGGCCCTATTGTTCTGAGTTTTTGGTTCATCATATTTTTTAATTTGCAATCATTTGGAGAAGGGCTTGACTTTTGCTTCGACGGATCTAAAGAAGGTGGGTTCTGATAAACTGGAAAAAATCTATTAAAAACTTATTAACGTTCTTTAACATCACTCTGAATATGAAATTTACATAAAAGCCATGATATTCAAATGCTTTGTAAAATGCTGGTTTCACTTCAATAAAGAATTACTTTTAACGTAAAAATTAGCGGTGACTAAGAAAATGAACTCGCTGTAAATTACTATATATAGGATAAATTTGCACGAGCAGGTGGCTATATATACAGGGTGTATAAAAAAGGGTAATCGAACTTCAGCGCGCTATTGTATCTGAATTACTCTGCGTATGAACGAGATTTTTCACATTCGGAAAGATCATGCTTTTAGCTGTTGAATGATATCTTCTTCATGCCAAATGGATAAAAAATGTGCAAATACGAATCCGATAAAAAATATTAGTCAAAATCGCATATTTTCGCCGTTGAGAGTTGCGTCTAAAACCATTGAAAATGAACCCCCTTTGGTACTTATGCCCCGTTTACACTATACCGGATTACTTTTCATACCGGATTAATTTTTACTCCGAAGTAAGAAAACAAGGGTGTTTACACTATGCCGCTTCGCTCTGTTGCCAGCTCATGTCTTTCACTGTCGCCATGGAAACAAGTAGCCGATTATATACCGAAATTTATTAAAAACAAGAAGTAACACCCGTTTTCTTTGTATAGTATAACTTTGTTTAAAAAGCTTGACCACCAGACGTTGCTTCGTTTCGCTCTAATCCAAAATTGACGAGTATTTCTTTAAATTTTGCTCTTTCGAAAGCGAAAAGTCAATGTTATTATCGTTCTCTTTATTTGTATTCGGCAGAAATAGTAAATGGTTGCAAAGCGAAACAAACAACAGCTATAAAGTATTGCAAAAGCGAGCAAATAAAGGCGACAATGTTAAAACATACACGCCAAAACCGTGTTTAGCCTGTTTACACTGCTCCGGCACATACCGGATTACTTTTCATATCACCTCCAAAGCGGAGTGGTTTTTGCTCCGTGTCGCGTACCGGATTACTGTGGCGTAGTGTAAACAGCAGCCGAATCCGGTATGAAAATCGCTACGCTCCGATGTAATCCGGTATAGTGTAAACGGGGCCTTAAGTTGATGAATTTCACTTCATTAAACTACGCACATATTCATAATTATTATTAAGTAGGAATAAATATTAGCTAAGCTACGACACGTTCGTGATTAATTGCTTTTTCCTTTGTTATGCATTGTTTTAATTACGCACGGAGGTAAAAATATGCGATTTTGACTAACATTTTTTTATCGGCCTCGTACATGCTTATTTTTTCTCCACTTGGTATGAAAAGCATGTCATTCAATAGCTAAAAGCCTGATCTTTCCAAATATGAAAACCAATTGTTCATACGCCGAGCGATTCACGTATAATTGCGCGCTAAAATTCGATTACCTCTTTTTTGATACACCCTGTAAATACCGGCAACATATTTTCCGATCCGAGTTAATGGCGTCGCCAACTTTTCATCGCACTTTCTACGAATCTTTGCCAAATATGCTCCGCATAGTAAAAATTTTAATGCTCAAATTAGTCTATACCGGAAATTTGATGTCGTTTGGACATGTTATTAATTAAGGGCGCGAATTCCGGCGTTTTTAAAAATTTTGTTTATTCCAATATATTTTAGTTTTTATTGGAATATAAACTGCTCCATACCACGTCCCAATGTCAGTCTAAAAGTATAAAAACGTAAATATGTAGAACATGAGTTGTCAATTTCTTGTGCGTATCTCAAAACAACAAGTATACAGTTATAATATCCAGGGTCGATCGAAAGACTTTTCAATTTGAATAGCAAACTAATAAGTACACATAAATAATGAGGCTTGGCATTGCCTTGTCGAGTATTCTTTTATATGATCCAAGTTCAGAACATATTTCACGTAATTCTTTCATGGAATTTCACTGTTCAAGTCAACGTCGACGTGTTCAGGTTCATTGTGTCAGATGAGCCACCCTCCCCCTGATACTTTTATTGCATGTGCATTACGTCACAAGATAGGATTTTGTCCGGTGAATATTAATGTGTGTCGATTTCGACAAGTCTCGCTCGTACTCCGTTTCACTCAAGTCAGAATTGTTTCCATTACAAATGAAACTGATAGACCTTACCAAAACCAATTCGGGCGAGACTACTACGGGCAATATATAGATCAGCGTTGTCGCAATCTGGTTTGGTGAAGTTTGGGTTTTTTCGAGTTTCGAGACTCAAAAGACAACTTCGAAGGCCAAAAGCGATGGTCGTGGACTGAATATCGCGGTCGAAATAAATAAATGCAATAAATGCGATGTTTCCTTGTATGCCGACGACACAGTCTTATATAGCTACGCCTCAGATGTCAATGATCTTGAAAAAAATCTTAATGAAGATTTACTCAAGTTAGCGATTTGGTTAAATGAGAATAAGCTGACACTGAATTTAAATAAAACTCGATCAATGATTATAGGCAGCGATAGGAAGTTATGTAATATATCGTCGATATCTGTGTCTATCAGTCTGTAAGTCTCCAACGCCAGCAATTTCAAGTACTTAGGAGTCACCATCACAGCCAATTTCACCTGGTCAGAACATATAGATCGCATTTCCGCTAAAGTCAATCAACGCCTAGGTCTACTTCGTAGGATTAAACACCTGCTACAATTTAATGCACGAATCCTTTTTTATAACAGTCTCGTACTCCCAATCTTTGACTATGCGGATGTTATATGGGGAGGCAAAAATAATACAATGTTAATGAACTATCTTCAGATACTCCAGAAAAAAGCCGCCAAGATTGTTTTAGATAGACCATTTTTTCATCGGCAGCAGACGTGTTAGACGCTTTACGCTGGACCACTCTTGAACAACGCAGATTGTATCATAAATGTTTATTTGTTTTTAAGTGTCTAACTAATCATACCTCACATGGGTTTGAACTTCTAGCGAACAGAGAAATACAGGGACGCCGGAACGATGATTCCGATGATTTGGTCAGTGTACCATTTTAGGGATCAAAACTTTTTTTCGGACATAACAAAAGGCAAATATTAACTATAAATTGCCTGAAACTCATGATTTTCCTACAAAAAGCATCGTTGGAAATGTGATTTATCACGTAAAATTTTACAACTAAACGGGGCACTTTTGCCCCCCCCCCTGCCCCCCTAGCAAAAGGCAGGGGGGGGCAGCCGTCCCCCCTGTCCCCCCAGTTCCGGCATCCCTGATAATTGTTGCTACAAAACCGTGCTGCTTTTCTCTGAACTCTCTCAAGAGAAGCGATGTCCTTTTGAAGATAGGGATCCCAAGCAGCACACGCGTATTCAAGTTTTGGGCGTACAATTGCCGTGTATGCAATTTCTTTCACTTTTTTAGGGCAGTTCCAAAGATTTCTTTTCATCATTCCTAAGACTCTGCTTGCTTTACTAGGGATAGTAGAGACATGATTGGACCACTTCAAATCATCATTAAAAGTGACTCCCAAGTATGACATCGATTCAACTTGTTCCAGTTTGACCCCACAGAAGGAATATACCCTCTGGGGTGGTGTTTTCTTGGTAGAAATACAGATCGTTTTACACTTAGAAGGATTAAATGACATTTGCCACTTATTTTGCCACTCTTCGAGTTGTTGTAAATCTTCCTGGAGTTGGTCACCATTCTCCTCATTTGACATTACGCCATATAGTAACGCATCATCGGCGAAAAGTCTGATTTGGGACTTCAGATTGTCCGGCAGATCGTTTACGTATAATAAAAATAAAAGTGGTCCGAACACAGTTCCCTGCGGAACTCCAGATGTTATCTGGGTAGGGTGGGAATGCTTGCCTTCACACACCACTGTTTGAGAACGGTTAGTTATGAATGACTCAAAGCAACGAAGCAGGGATCCATGGATTCCATAATACTGTAACTTAATAATAAGAAGTTTGTGAGGAACTTTATCGAAGGCCTTGCTAAAGTCTAATACTGCGGCATGAATCGACTTATTGTCTTGGATCGCCTTGGCCATATCATGAATCGCCGCCGGGATTAATTGCGTTACTGTGGATCGTCTTGCTCTGAATCCATGTTGTACATCTGTGAGCATCGCGTGTTGTTCTAGGTGTTTCATCACGTGACTATGAATAATATGTTCGAGGACCTTTGATGATATGCAGGTTAGTGAAATAGGTCTGTAATTTGCGGGATCTGATTTGGGATCATTCTTATGCACACCACACACATTAGCATGTTTCCATTTAGATGGTGTACATCCACTATCGATGGAGGTTTGAAAAATTGCTGCCAACATAGGGCCAATTTCCGTTGCATATTCTTTAAGAAACCACGGGGGTATCTCATCTGGGCCACTTGCTTTATGTGGTTTCAAGGACTGTAACTGTTTAATGACACCTGGAATTGTAATAATAATGGTGCCAATGCTCGGTTTCGGGTCTAGACCGACGGGAGGAATATTATTAGGATTTTCGTCTGTAAACACACCAGAAAACCAGGGGCGGATCCAGCGTTTTGGATGACAGGTTTACTAGGTCCACACAACCACTAGGGGGTTCCGGGGGAATGCACCCCCGGGAAATTTTTAAAATTCGGGCCTCTTAAACAGCATTTCCTGCGTTCTGGCGTCACCCTTTAAATTAATTTAATGGTTAGAAAATACATGTTTTTAAGAGAATTTTGGACTAATATACGCAGCTCAAACAATGAATTGAACCTTTTCGGAAACTTATTAGCTGGTGATAAAAATATAGGATTGGCAAATCGCTGACGCATCGATATTTATTATAAGGGGTCTTATAAGTACAAGTAAAGGTCTTATAAGGGCATAAGGTCTTATATATAAGGGCATTGATCGCTTTGAATTACTATTGTGATCAGCAAGTTGTACTGTATATAATTTGTATATATAAATTTATAATCCTAAGATCTTTTACATATTTACTCTAAATAGCTTTTAGACGTTTTAAAGTAGAATTAATAACTTTGTATGTATTGTATATGAGGGCCACAGGTTTTTCAGTTATATTGCTGTCATGTGTTTTTACCCTCTTTAAATAAAGTTGTTCATTCATTCATTCATTCAAGTAGCCTGCGAACAAGCTCTCAAGCTGAATTGAGAGCCTGCATCGATGACTAACGAATTTGAATATCTGCCCCGTAACGTTCGTTTTTCCAAATATGGAATGTCTATCCTTATATGGTGTTGTTTACAACTTTCGTGCAAACTAAATTTAGACCGTGCAAACTAAATTTAGACCGTACAGTTTATACTGTTTTTCGAAATATAAAATATTCAAGCAAAAGTTCAAATGTTTTAAATACTGTTTTCTTAAAACAGAACATTTTGTGCTTTGAGATAAGACGGCCAAGACCAATTTGATCAGTTAATGTGTTTTTTATGCATAGTGCTTCAGCAGTTGACATATATAGAGCTCAGCGGAAACATATAAATTATAGCATCTGACCAATGAGAATTTCGCGTCACGACTTGAGACGCAGATATTCAAATTTACTAGTCATCGATGCAGGCTCTCAATTTAGCTTGAGAGCCTGTTCGCAGGCTAAAGTACAAGTAGAGATGCTTTTAATATAAACATAGTTGTAATTTTAGATCTGTACGCTTTCAAACCAACCGCTTTAACAATGAAATAGAAACCAAACTGCAAAAGCGTGAAAGCTTTACAATTATTTCCTGATTCTCTATCGCGAACGCAATGATTCGGTCACGCAATATTATAAGAATTATACACATATTTCGCGCTATCATGAGTGTAGACTATGTAGAAGTTACACATATAAACATCGATGCCCTTGTTGACGGATCGATATTTATTATACAGTAAGTAGAAATAGCTTACAGTTATAACTTTAGACTATATACTTTTAAACAAACCTTCAAAATGAACAAGAAATCCATGTAAATGCTTCTATCGACAACGCAATTTTCAGTCACGCAAAATTAT